CTCCTCCCCTCCTCCTCCTCCTCCTCCTCCTCCTGTTCCTCCTCCTCCTCCTCCTGTTCCTCCTCCTCCTCCTCCTACTCCTCCTCCTCCTCCTTCTCCTCATCCTCATCTTCCTCCTACTCCTCCTCCTCATCCTCCTCTTCCTCCTCCTCCTCCTCCTCCTCCTCCTCCCCCCATTTTTTGACGTTGGGCGGGCTTTTCGCAACGGAGCTGGCTGTAGCATTCACATCCTCCCCCCTCCTTCTGCTCCTCCTGCCCCACCGCCTCCCTTCCCCGCAGGGCCAGGGCGGCGAGGGGGCTGTGGTCCCGCAGGGGCGCGGAAGAGGGCGGGCGAAGGCGTAGGGGCGAGCAGCCGCGGGGAAGACCAGCGCGGGGAGGTCGAGGGTGGGAGGGCCTCTCGCGGACGAGGCGGAGGAGGGCCAGAGCAAACCTGATACGGGTCAGCGATGATGCTAAGTTTTGCCCCTGGCCCTCCTCGAGGATCGAGGAGTGATTTCGGACGTTTTCGGAGGGTGATTGGACGTTTTCAACCCTTTTCGGCCCTTTTCGGGCCTCCGGGGACCTCCGGTGGTCAGGATCCGGGGCGGGAGCAAAACTTAACCTGCAACACACCCTCCAGTCCCAAGTCCATCTTGTTCTACGCACAGGGTTCCATACACGTGAGGTTCAATGCAAAGAGATCCTTCCACACACGTCAAGTTCCACGCGAGTGCGGTTCCACACGCATGGGGTTCCACAACACACGCACACGGGCCTACTCACATACAGCTTCACACACATGCAAGCATGGTGACCCACACAATATGACATAGGGCTCCGTACACGTAGGTTTCTACAATCATCGCGCCACCGTAAGGAACGACAACAAGGAACGAACGGGATCTTCCGTCGCGAACCTCGGCCACGAGTATGTTTCCCGATCAAGATCTACAGAATGGCCCAACAACCATAGCCCCTCCTGGGAACGGAGCGGTCCTTGCATCAGCTTCTTGACGGCGCGCCTGTTGCACGAATGAGGTGGTTGGCGTCCACGCTCCCAGGGCGAGATCACACAGAGGCTGCCGCCGCGTACCGTCGGGGCGTTGACCTAAGGAACCCGAAATAAGGAACGAGGCCCCTTCTCTCCAGAAGTTCAATCTCGACTTCCCATCGAACACCCAAGGATGACCTGGGGCAGAATGTGAAACGATGAAGGAGCACGGAGCCCCTCCCCAACGAAAAGGGCTCCTTATTCAGAGCCCCGGCTGTACATTCCCAGAGAAACTGCGGGGCAGTCCTGTGTCCAACAGCCAGCGCCAACGAGGCGCGGCCTCCGCGGGCGGCGTCCCCGCCCGGGGGCGGCGCACCCGACGCAGCGGTGGACACGTCCCGCACGAGTGCAGAGCACCCCCCCCCCCCCTGAGCGTGGTGGACAGCACGTTGCGCTCTGGGTTGGTGGTGGGTGTGGCGGTGAGTACTCCAGATTTCGTAATAAAAGGGAGGGGGGTCTCATTTCGGGGGGGGTCTCTTCCAGGCTATCTTGGAGGGCCTGGGGGGGTCTGGGGACGATGTTTTGGAGGGTTCTCCCAGGGGGGGGGTCTAAAACTTCTCGTCTGGGAGGGTTGAGACCCCGTCCCTTTTATTACGAAATCTGGAGTACGGTCAGGAACTTTTGGATCGCGTGTCGCGGCGGCGGCCCTGGCGACACGCTATGCTTTGCGAGTGGATCGCGTGTCGCCCCGCTCCGCGGGGAGAGGAGCTGGGAAAAGCACGGGACATTGACGCTCGGGGACCGGGAAGTGGATAACGTGTCGCGCCGAAGCGGGGTGGGCCAGAACCGGCGGAACGACGCGCTAAGCAAACGTTCCCAACCGTAATTTGGGGTATCTCGCAGCTGGTGCGACTGTCGTGCCTCATTGCCAGAGTGCCAGAAGATTTGTCAGCACGCCTGAGCCCGGGGTGAGTGATGTGTATCAGAGGGGTGAACTTAATTCGAGGGTGAAAACTTCTCCTTACTTAAAAGAGAATAGACTCTATGCCCCCCTGGCGTTACCCGCCCCCCTTTCGGGATGTAAATTATATATGCTTCTGACCACATGTTCATTCGAAATATGGACTTTGCACTATCCTAAGAGGGACCGGGATCGGCCCCCCTAAGGTTCCCTTGGAAAAAATGATACGCGGGGACATCTTTTGTTCTAACATAGCACTTTTTTCACGAATCCCTTGCAAAAAAACGGGACGAAGTGCACACGCGCGTGTCGTCGCGCGCGCATGCCGAAATCCTTCAAAAACCTTCGGTGTCGGAAGGATTTCGCAATCGAGTTTCCAAAAGACATACAAAAACACATGGTTTCGTAACACTGTTTTGCTAAAAAAGCTTACTAGCGAGCTCTTGCGAAATCTTAAGCAAACCATAGGTTTTTCAATATTTTCACAACATGCTACCAAACGGGCTTCGCGCGCGCATGTCGAAATCTGTCGAACGCCCTTGCGCGTGTGCCGTCGCGAGAATCCTCTGCAACAGAAAAAACGAAGTGCAGACGCGCGCGTCGTCGCGCGCGCATGCCGAAATCCTTCAAAAACCATCGGTTTCGGAAGGATTTCAAAATCGCGTGTCCAAAATACCTACAAAAACACAAGGTTTCGCAACACGGATTTTCAACAAAAGAGTGCGCGCGCGCTCTTGCGTCGTCGTCGTCGTAGTCGTCGCCCTCCCTCCTCCCGCGTCGTCGTCGTCCTCGTCGCCTACGTCGTCCTCTGTCTTTCCTCGTGTTCGTCGTCGTTGTCCTCTTTGGCGTCGTGGTCGCTTCCGTCGTCGTTGTCGCCGTGGTCGTCCTTTCTCCTCCTCCCTCGTCGTCGTCGACGTCCGTCGTCGGCGTCTCGTCGTCGTCCCTCCTAGTTCGTCGTCGTCGTCGTCGTCGTCGTTGTCGTCGTCGTCTTCCCTCCTCCCTCGTCGTTGTCGTCGTCGGCGTCGCCGTCCTTCCTCCTTCTTCGTCGTTCGCGTCGTCGCCGTCCTTCCTCCTCCCTCGTCGTTGTCGTCGTTGTCGTCGTTGTCGCCGTCGTCGTCCTCCCTCCTCCCTCGTCGTCGTCTTCGTTGGCGACGTCGTCGTCGTCTTCGTCGTCGACGTCGGCGTCGGCGTCGTCGTCGTCTTCGTCGTCGACGTCGGCGTCTTCGTCGTCGCCGCCGTCGTCGTCGTCGTCGTCGTCGTCGCCGTCGTCGTCGTCGTCGTCGTCGTCGTCGTCGTCGTCGTCGTCGGCGTCGTTGACGTCGTTCGTCGTCGTCGGTCGTCGTCGTCGCGTCGTCATCGTCGTCGTCGTTGTCATCGTCGTCGTCGTCGGCGTCGGGTCGTCGTCGTCGTCGTCGTCGTCGTCGTCGTCGTCGTCGTCGTCGTCGTCGTCGTCGTCGTCGTCGTCGTTGTCGGCGTCGTCGAAGTCGTTGGAGACGTCGTCGGTGTCGTCGTAGTCGTTGTCGGCGGCGTCGTCGTCGTTGTCGCTGTCGTCGGCGTCGCTGTCGTTGCCAAATGCCATTTGGTACCCACCGTCACGGTCTTAAGAGATTTTGCAAACCAAGTTGCGGGTGGGTGGGTGGGATGTTTGCGCGAGCAGTGGAGGTGGTCAAGCGCGGTGCAGGGTAGTCAACCTACCCCCATAATAATCACCCTGACAAGCGAAGCCATTTCGTAAACACACCCACGGAAAGAATCGAACAAGGCAGAGCTGTTTAGTAAACACCCAAGGCCGTTCCGTACATGCCAAGATGTCTAAACGCCCAAGGGCCGTTTCGTAAACGCAGATTGTCCGGTCCGGGTGGTTTTTCCTCCCGCCATTAATCATGGTGTGGAAGGGAAACGCCGCGAATGCCAAAACGTGTGACCACACAGCCCCCCACGCTTTTGTTGCAATGAACGATTGCGGTGGGCCGGGTGGCCCCGCCGACGGGCGAGCACGACCGAGCGCGGCTGCTTCTTCCCAGCCCTCCCTTTTGCTTGGGTCCTCGCTGTGAAATCGAGCGCTGCTTGCTCCAACGTCCCGCCAACTCCCTTCTCCCTGCCTCCTGTCATCTCGAGCGCCCCCTTCAGGGGGCTGCAAATCTGCGCAACTGTCCCTTCTGCGCAACTGTCGCCGCTTTCGTGAGCTCCTGGGAGCTCCAGCGGAGTGGATTTGCACGCGCACCCAGACAGACCTCGCCCTCGTTGGGGGACTGCCAACTGCGCATCTGCCGCCACTTTCGCGGGCTCCTGGGAGCTCCAGCGGAGTGGAGTTGCACGCGCATCCAGACTAAACCTCGCCCTCCCTGGGGGGCCTGCCAACAGCGCAACTGTCGACGCTTTCGCGGGCTCCTGGGAGCTCCAGCGGAGTGGAGTTGCACGTGCATCCAGACTAAACCTCGCCCTCCCTGGGGGGCCTGCCAACAGCGCAACTGTCGACACTTTCGCGGGCTCCTGTGAGGTCCAGCGGAGTGGAATTGCACGCGCACCTAAACTAAACCTTGCGGTTCCCTCGGGGGGCTGCCAACAGCGCAACTGTCGACACTTTCGCGGGCTCCTGGGATATCCAGCAAAGTGGTGTCCTGTGCACATCCCGACTAGATCTCTCCGGAGGGCTGCACCTGTGTTATTGTCGCCGCTTTCGCGAGCTCCTGAGAGGCTCAGCGGAGCGACGCCACATGCGGACGCACACGATACCTCGCGGCTGCCGGGGGGGCTTCCATCTGCACCACTGTGGCCACTCTGGACTTTGAGCGCGGTCCGACATTCTTGAGCGAAGCGTTCAACGGTATTGCAAATCCCTCAATGTGTGCTGTTGTATTGAACGGTAGTGTCTGTAGTCGCCTCGTGTTTGACAGGGGTTGGGCACGTCCCTGGGTAACTTGTTCTGGTTTCACGTGTTCGTTTAAACGTTCCCATATTGGATCCGAGAGTTTTTTCGGCTAATATAGCTGGCATTCCCAAAGTGGGAACCGAACTTCGCACCCATGGACACTCACATACAGGAAGGCGGAATAACGATCAATAATTTTGTTCCTCCCTCTGTTGCGGCATTGGTCACCGAACGGCACCACAGAGCGTGGAACTGAAGATCACCAAGCACATAAGGAACACCGCCCAAGCCAACCTGCTGTAGGCGAAAACTGGCCATGGCAAAAAAACCTACCCACAACTACGTCGGGCGCAACTGCAGGACGCCCCAAAACTGTAGGGCGCAAGATCGGGCACAACTCCGCTCATCCTTGTGCGCCTCCTCCTCCTCCTCCTTCTCGTCAATCGCCCTCGTCCTTCTCACCCTCTTTGCCATCCTCCTCATCTTCCTCTTCCTCCACCTTCCTCCTCCTCATCCTCTCCCCCTTCCCCTTCATCCTCCCCTCGTCGTCGCCGTCGTCGTCGTCGTCCTCCTCCTCCTCTTCCTCCTCGTCCCTCGTCCTCGTCCTCCCCCCTTCGCCTCCTGCTGTTGCTGCTGCTGCTGCTCCTCCTCTTCCTCCTTCTCCTGCTGATGCTGCTGCTGCTTGCTGCTCCTCCTCCTCCTTCTCCCTCCCGAGACCGCGCCGCGCGGCTCGTGCGAGCTCAGGCCGCCGCCTCCCCCATGCGGGCCTTGGCCGAGCGGTCCTTCGTCCAACCGGTGCCGCCCACGGAAGAGATGCAGGGAAACTTCCTCTGGGCCGGCCCAGGGCCGCAGGGCGGCGCGTTCAAGCCAGAGGAGATCGCAATGCTCTCTCTCTCTCTCACGCTGGGAGTCTCTTCGCCCAACTGTTTTCGGGCCCCGGGGCCCTCGCAGAGATCGATCCAGCTCGAAGGGTGGCGCAGAAAGATGGGGTCCAGGGCGTCCAGGGTCCCGCTTGAATTAGGTCGGGCGTGTCCCCCTACAGGCAGATTTTGCAAGACAAACAAACATAGTCAAACAAAACTCAAACATAATTAAGATAATCGAAAATCGTCCTCATGCTATTTTTAACCATTCTCGAGTACTCCTCTCGTAGAGGGACCTGCCCGACTTAAAGCTTGTGCTTTCCCACGGCGTTGCACGTTTGCGACGTCGGATCTCCGGGAAGGGCTCGCATCCGGCGCACCTCGCCCTGTCACAGAAAGATGGGCTCCGGGGTCCTGCCTGTAGGAGGGCATCAACGATACACCTGCACCGACCCTGGGCAGGCTCAACCTGGGCCCAGGATCGGTGGATACGCCCTGCTGGCTTGGGCAGGGCAGCACATGCACCGATCCTGAGCCCAAGATTTGCCTGGCCAGGACCGGTGTAGGTGTATAGTTGGTGCCCTCCGAGCTTGTGATTTTCCACGACGTTTTTTTTGCTTGTGCCAATCTTTTGCCTTATGATTTTCCACGATGTTGCACGGCCGGACTGAGGACAGACGAGCGCCCTTCGAGAACATGAAGCCCTCTGCCAGTCGAAACGCACAGCACATCCTAGGGTACCCTCCCCAGGATGCACAAGAACATCCAACAAAGATGAAGAACATCAGTAGAAAACTTTTGGCGCTCCGCGCGGATTTCTTGGATCTGCGGCAGACCCCCCTCCCTGGCGCGCGGAGCGCGCCAGGGGCGGCGCCGGAGGCGCTGCCAGGGGTCCCAGCGCGGATCCAGGAAATCCGTGCGGAGCGCCAACAGTTTATGCTGAAAGCGTTTTTTTCTTCTTCGGATCCAACAAGCACGAAGAACATCAGGGCACCCTCCCCGAGCCGACCTCCATCTCGTAGGAGGAGGAGGAGGAGGAGGAGGAGGAGGAGGAGGAGGAGGAGGAGGAGAGGAGGAGGAGGGAGGAGGAGGAGGAGGAGGAGGAGGAGAGGGGAGGAGGAGGGGGAGGAGGAGGAGGGAGGAGGAGGGAGGAGGAGGAGGAGGAGGAGGAGGAGGAGGAAGGAGGAGGAGGAGGATGAGAGGAGGAGGGAGGAGGAGGAGGAGGGAGGAGGGGGAGGAGGATGAGGGGGAGGAGGAGGAGGACCAGTGCAAACCAGTGCAAACCCCAACATGCCTCAGGGCCGAGGGCCTCGCCTCCGGCGACCGCCCCGCCCTCGGCGGCAGGCCGGCGGACCCGGCACGGCGCAGGGGCCCGCCAGCGGCGGGCGGCGGGCCTGGAGGCGACGGTTCGGGCGCGGCCTGACCTGGGACGCACATGGACATACTAATACTATATGTCCTCCTTGGAGGCGCGCGTCCGACCCGAACATATAGTATACCCATCTTGTAGTATATCGTTTCCCGAGCGGTGTGGGTCAGAAAAGGTCCCCTTTCGTGCCCCTTTCGGGCCCCTCCAGAGCCCCAGGGGTCTCGTTTAGGTATCGTTTGGGTACCTTTTCGGACCACCCTCGCCACCCCCCCATTTATGACCCCCCCATTACGAGGCGACGGTTCGGGCGCGGCCTGACCGACCCCGCCGGGCGGGTGGTGAAGAGACGGTGGCCCACCTGGGGGGGTGAAGAGGGGAGCGGGGAGCGCGCGATGACGGTCCAGCAGGACCGGCCCTAGGAGGGCGGCGCGGGGGGGCCGGAGCCCTCAGTAGTCGGCCTGGGACTGGCGGTCGATCTGGATGAAAGTGGTGTGAAACGTACAATTTTTTGGACGTCTGGTGTATTCGGGAGTCCAATGGGTGGAGGTGAGAGTGATAGGTCGGATAGATGGGCGTGGAAGTGGAAAGTCGGATGCTGGAAAGTCGGATGCAGGGGGGCGAGGAGACGGGCCCCAAAGGAGGCCTCCAAAGCCTCGTTTTGAGCCCCCGCCGGCTCCAGAGGGGGTCCAGAAGGGCTCCTTTGGGGCCCCGTGTCTTCACCCCCCATCTGGGTCACCCCCCTTACCACCTGCCCGTCGACCCCTAGCAAACCATCCCCTTCCGTGAAGTCATCCTCGCCTTTCGAGCTCCCCTCCGGCCGCACACATGCGCCTTGGGGCGAGGCGAGGGGGGCGTCACAGTAGGGGAAGGTTTGCTAGGGGTCGGTTAGGCCGCCCCTGAGAGGTGCCAATCTTTCTCGATGCAGGGTGCAAGACGAAGCCAGGACGCGGCTAAGATGGGGCGGAATAAACCGAGACTCCCTGGGACCCGACGGCTCTGGAGGATGTCTCGGGCGCTGCGGCCTCCTCAGAACGTTCTGGAGCGTTCTGAGAGCGTTCCGGGACGCTTTGGAACGGATTCATCCTCGTCCTAGCCCCGTCCGAGGGTGTCCCAAGTCAAGTGCTCGGCCCTCCTCGAGGATCGAGGAATGATTTCGGACGCTTTCGGGCGGCTCTCGGACCTTTCTGGCCTTTCTCGGGCCTTCGGGGACCTCCGGGGACCTCCGGGCGTCAGGCCCTGGGGCGGGAGCAAAGCTTACCGATGTGGCGAGACTCGCCTCCTCCTCCTCCTCCCTCCTCCTAAGGGCAGCCCTTTCGTTTTTCGCTTTCGTTCCTGCGGCGCGTCGGGGGAGAGATGTGTGTGTGTGTGTGTGCTCGCTTAGGTCGGGCATGTCCTCCTACAGGCGGATTTTGGAATAGAAATGAAGAGTAGTCCGAAAATATGCAAGAAGGGTCAAAAATAATAGAAAACGGCCCCCCGACTATTTTCTGACTATTCCTCCCTCCCCCTCTTTGGACGCCCGATATGGGAACGGAAAAGATGGGTACAATGCCCAACCGCAACTTTTATCCAGAAGCGACAGCGGCCGCTGTTGGGCAGGCGGCTTCATGTCTTCAGTGAACAGCGTCCGCGGCGGCACGGACAGCAAGTCTTGTTCAAAATGAACAGAAACTGCTGTTGGGCACCGTACCTATCCTTTCCGTAACCATTTCGATCGTCCCGACCCTCGCACTCTGACCAGCGGCACTTTCCCGGCTCCTGGCTGGCTGCCTCCGCCGCGTCGCTGCGCGCGTGGCCGCGACGCCAAAGCGTATCTATACATGCCTATGCAAGACTTCGTTTCTTCCGAGTGCATGGCCATCGACACTTCTTACCTGCCCCCGTCAACCGCTCGTCGGTCTGACCTCCCATCGGCAGACCTTCATTGGTACTCACCATTGGCGCGTCCCGCATTTGCCCTCGCTGCATTGGGGCAACCGGCTGCGAGGATAAGTGTGTGTGTGTGTGTGTGTGTTTGTGCTCTTCTTGGGCTTCCAGGTCGGACTCGGTCTCCTGGTGGTTCTACGATGCTTACTCGCTCCCCCCCGCCTTCCAGTCCCAATTGGCTTATGTCACCTTCACCGCACCGTAGCTTCGTCTACCCACCGTCCACCCTGCCATCCATGCCTGGATGACTTATGCCTGCCGGCGGCTGCGAGACCCAAAGCGGTTTCTGAAGGCTCGGGCGCTCCAAGTGGCGCTCCGCCCTGTCGCTGCGCGCAGGGCCGCGACGCCAAAAAGAAAGTGTGCGCGCGCGCGTGTGCGTGTGTGTGTGTGTGTGTGTGTGTGTGTGTGTGTGTGTGTGTGTGTGTGTGCGTGCGTGCGTGCGTGCGTGCGTGCGTGCGTGCGTGCGTGCGTGCGTGCGTGCGTGCGTGCGTGCGTGCGTGCGTGCGTGCGTGTGTGTGTGTGTGTGTGTGTGTGTGTGTGTGTGTGTGTGTGTGCGGGGCTGATCTGTACATGCTTAGATCTGGTCAGGGCCCGTTGTGCCGAACCTCGTGTGCGGGGGCCGCGTTGTGCACTCTTGCAACATGGCCCGCTGTGCTAAACTTGCTCCTCCCCCGGCTCCACATAAGGGAGAAGAGGAATCAGCTAAACTTCTTCTTCCTCCTCCTCCTCCTCCTCCTCCTCCTCCTCCCTCTCCACAGTGGCACAACATAGTAAACACTACCTCCTCTCTCCCCCAGATGTGTGCTGAGAATGGTCGCCCCCCCTCCGCGTATGGTTTTTTTACACACATGATGTGGACGAGATGGTCTCTCTCTCTTTCTCTCTCTCTCTCAAGCGCCGCGCTCCTCGCCCCCTTCTCGGGGAAGTCATCGAGCGAACAAGTGCCCAGAGGAGGAGGAGGAAGAGGAGGAGGAGGAGGAGGAGGGGGAGGAGGAGGAGGAGAAGGAGGAGGAGGAGGAGGTCTGTCCCTCCGAAGTGATGCTGCCGCTGCCGCGTGGGCCGTGTTTTAGGATCGCGGCCCTGCGCCCGTCGTGTTTGAGTGGCGCTCTCGCCCCCGCGCGGGCCACTTTCCTGTACCCGAATCCCTCCTCATCGTTGTCGCCCACCTCGAACGAAGGATTGCAAAAAGGATTGCAAAACAGTTTTTTTTGCAATCATTCGTTCAAACGAAGGTTTTTTTGCAATCATTCCCCTCCTCCGCTTTCCCCTGGTCCTCGAACGAAGGATTGCAAAAAACCGAAGGATTGCAAAAAACGAAGGATTGCAATCCTTCGTTTTTTTTGCAATCCTTCGGTTTTTTTTTCAATCCTCCCCTCCTCCGCTTTCCCCTGGTCCTCCTGCTCTGCCCGCTCCTTCCACTCCAATTCCTGCCGCTGCTGTTCGTCCCGCTTGTCCTCCGTCCGTCCCTCTGCTCCTCCTTTTCCTCCTGCTGCTGCTGTTGCTCCTCCTCCTCCTCCTCCTCCTCCTCCTCCTCCTCCTCCTCTGTATCAGAGCAATGAGAAGGGATGGGAGGGATGGGTAGGATATCTGATGTGACGCGAGCGCACTTAGCTTGTCCTCCTCTCCCTCCTCTTTCTCTCCCTCCTCCCTTCTTCCCTCACCCGTCTCCCGCCACCTCCTAACGTTCAAGCTGGTCAGATGTATGGCGACAGGGCTGGACCTTCCATAGGCCACCCCCACCTCCTACATGTTGCCCCATGCGACGAGGGACTCCCTCTTCCTCTCCTCCTCCACCCCTCCTCCCCCTCCTCCTCCTCCTTCCTCCTTCCCCTCCTCCTCCTCCTCCATTCTCTCTTCCACCTCTCCTCTCCTCTTCCACCTCCTCCCTCCCCATCTTCCACCTCCTCTATCCTCTTCCCTCCTTCCTCCTCCTCCTCCTCCTCCTCCTCCCTCCTCCTCCTCCTCCTCCTCCTCTCCCCCAACTGCTCTTCTCCCTCCCCTGCTCTTCTCCCCGCCCTCCTCTCCCTCCCTCTCTCCCTCCTCTCTCTCCCTCCCCTCCCCCTCCCCCCTGCCCCGCGAGGCAAGGGAGGGCTTCGGGCGCGCGACGGGCACGCCTGCCCTTCCCGCGGCTTCGGCCGCCCCCCCCCCCCGCGCGGCTCCCGAGGTACGGGAAGCCGGGCTCCAGCACGGCCCCCAAGCAGAAGTCGGCCACGTCGGCGCGGGCGATGGAGCCGGCCTCGCCGTCGATGACGTTGACGGCCCGTGGTCGACCGGGCACCCCGCGGGCCCAGGGGAACGGACGAGGGCAGGAAGATCGAGCCGGGAGCCCTGCCTCGATTCTCGCCCGCGGGGGCTCGTCGGGCTGAGACGGGGCCAGGGCTGGGACCACCTCGGGCCGGGACAACCCAGGGCCGTAGGCGACCCGAGGAGGAGGAGGAGGAGGAGGAGGAGGAGGAGGAGGAGGAGGAGGAGAAGGAGGAGGAGGAGGAGGAGAAGGAGGAGGGAGGAGGGAGGGGGGAGGAGGGATCTCTAAGAACCCGCGGTTCTGGAAGATGCATCGAGCGCCGCGGCCGTCCCAGAACGCTCCGGAGCGCCCCGGGAGCGCGCTGCAACGCTTCGGGGCGACTTGCTCTCTCGCTCCCGCCCTGGCGAGCGGTCTCCGCGTGCGCGTGCCGGCGCCGCGCCTCCGCGCGCGGCGGCGGGGCAGACCCGCTGCCAGGCGCGGGGGGGCCACATCCGAAATATCTCGACCGACGACCATTTCTGGCCGAGACGACTCCGTCTGGACAAATTCATCTGGGCAGGTTCATCGGGGACCACTTCGTCCGAGGAACCTCCTTTTAAAACGATGTCATCTGCCGATTCGTCTGGGCGAGTCTATCCGGGCGAATTCATCTGATGCTCAGGAGCGGGGCGCCTGGCCGCCGAAAGGCGGTGCAGCCGTGCCGAAGCTCGAAGCCCTTGCGACATGACAAGGTTTTGGCGGGCGGCGGGTTGGACCGACCAGGCTGACGACCCAACAAGCAGAATAGGGGTAAGCAAGCGACTGCTGGCGGAGGTGAAGGAGAGCACCTGAACCCTGGCGCCCTGGCGGTCTCAGAGCGAGACAGAGAGAGAGAGAGAGAGAGAGAAAGAGAGCGAGAGAGAGAGAGAGAGACGCCCAGACAGTCGAAGCAGCAGCAGCTTGGAGGTAGCCCTCAGCACTCGACGCTTGGCGTTACTTACCTCGCCAGAAGACGCGAAGGACGTCTTCTGTAGCAATGTAGAAATCAATGGCACCTGAGTCCCGCAGACAACTAGGGATCACATTCAATCCGGCGGCGGCTTTGGCGAGCGGAATGCCCGACGTCGGAAGCAAGTGGTTCCACCGAGTATGGAAGCCGCTTGCCCCGAACGGGGCGAGCGGATCTGTGAAGCGGGATGTCCATTGGCACGTTCAGACAGGTCCACCGACCGACGATCCGAACACCTCGCGTGCTGAGCGGGGTAGGAACGAGAGGTCTTCGGCGCCGCGATGGCCAGAAGGGCGTCGCCCGTCGGCTCGAGGCGGCCCGACGGCCAGGAGAGATCGCACCTCCGAGCCTTCGTGAGTTCCCCTGAACGCAGGAGCATCGTGAGACCCAGCGGCAGCAAGGCGGCCATGCCTGGCGAGTCCCAGATGGGGCAGAGGCCAGCCGTCGCGCGCAAGAGGGCGCGAGGCAACGGTGGGCTACTAATAATATTATTATTATTATTGTTATTATTATTATTATTAGTGTTATTATTATTATTATTATTAGTATTATTATTATTATTAGTAGTATTATTATCATCATCATCATCATCATCATCAAGCTTCTGTAAGGAACGCCTTCCAGTGGGGGCGCGCTGACTAGGCACCCAGAAGGGCGTGCGCAAGGATGCAATGGGGGAAACCAGCGTCGTGGAACCGTACTCCGAATGTGGCTAGCGCTCGTGCCAGGAGCGCGCCACTTCGGTAGAGCGTGGTCGGAACCACCCTGGTGTGCTCGACGACCCACGGCTCGAACGCATCGACCGATCGGGATCCGCTATCGAGGTGCTCGGGAGTCAAGTGGGGATCCCGAGCGAAAGGCGTGCGTGGGGCACGGGGTCGCACGGTGCTAAGCCCGCGGCCCGTGGGCGCGGCGGTGGCCGCAGAGGCAGGAGGGCCCACCGCGGCAGCGTGTGCGCTAGGGAGGGTGCCGAGGACACCTCGCGGTGTCCCCAGGAGGGCCCCCGTCCCCACTTTCGAGGGCTGCTGGGGCGTCCAGCGGAGTGACGCGCCACGCAGATTCAGATTAGACCTCGCCATCCCTGGTGGGCGGCGACATGTATATAAAACTGTTCCCGCTGTCGAAGACTGCTGATGCCCGGCGGGGTGACGCGCTGCGCAAGCTCCGATTCGACCTCGGTATCCCTGGGGGGGACTGCGAACTGTGAAACAGTACCCACTTTCGAAGGCTGCTGGAAGTCCAGCGGACAGACGCGCTATGCAAACTCAGATTAGACCTCGCCATCCCTGGGGGGGCTGAAGCTGTTCCCGCTTTCCAGGGCTGCTGGAGGGTCCAGCGGAGTGACGCGCTACGCAGACTCAGATTCGACCTCGCTATCCCTGGGGGGCTACGAACTGTGAAATTTTCGTTGCTTTCGAGGGCTGCTGGAGGGTCCAGCGGAGTGTGTCGCGCTACGCAGACTCATGCTAGACGTCGCCATTTCTGGGGGGGGGGGCCTGCGATATGTGAAACTGTTGCCGCTCTTGATGGCTGCTGGAGGTCCAGCAGAGTGACGCGCTACGAAGACTCATATTAGACCTCGCTATCCCTGGGGGATTGCGATGTGTGAAGCTGTCGCCACTCTGGCTGGCTGCTGGAGGGTCCAGCGGAGTGACGCGCGACGCACGCAGACTAGTCCTCGCCACCCCTGGGGGGATTGCGAACTGTGGAGCGGCCACCACTCTCGAGGGCTGCTGGAGGGTCCAGCGGAGTGACGCGCTGCGCAGACTCCTGCTAGACGTCGAGCTGCGAAGCGTTCCCCACTTTCGAGGGCTGCTGGAGGGTCCAGCGGAGTGACGCGCTGCGCAGACTCCTGCTAGACGTCGAGCTGCGAAGCGTTCCCCACTTTCGAGGGCTGCTGGAGGGTCCAGCGGAGTGACGCGCTGCGCAGACTCGGATGACACCTCGGCATGCCTGGGGCGCTGTGAACTGCGCAACTGTCGCCGCTCCCCTCCTCCTCCTCCTCCTCTCCTCCTCTTCCTCGTCTCCTCCTCCTCCCTCCTCCCCTCTCTCCTCCTCCTCCTCTCCTCCTCTCCTCCTCCTCCTCCTCCTCCTCCTCCTCCTTCCTCCTCCTCCTCCTCCTCCTCCTCCTCCTCCCTCCTCCTCCTCCTCCTCCTCCTCCTCCTCCTCCTCCTCCTCCTCCTCTCCTCCTCCTCCTCCTCCTCCTCCTCCTCCTCCTCCTCCTCCTCTCCTCCTCCTCCTCCTCCTCCTCCTCCTCCTCCTCCTCCTCCTCCTCCTCCTCCTCCTCCTCCTCCTCCTCTCCTCCTCCTCCTCCTCCTCCTCCTCCTCCTCCTCCTCCTCCTCCTCCTCCTCCTCCTCCTCCTCCCCTCCTCCTCCTCCTCCTCCTCCTGTTCCTCCTCCGCGTCATCCTCCTCCTCCCACTCCTCCTCCTCCTCCTCCTCCTCCTCCTCCTCCTCCTCCTCCTCCTCCTCCTCCTCCTCCTCCTCCCTGCTGGGGGGTCCAGCGGGGCGACGCGCTGCGCAGGCTCCGATTCGACCTCGCCATCCCAGGGGGGCTGCGAACTGTGAAACGGTCGCCACTCTGGAGGGCTGCTATAGAGGAAAAAAAACTATGCACATGCACCGATTCTGGCCAGGCCCATCCTGAGCCCAGGATCGGTGCATACGCCCTCCTACCTTGGCCAGGAAGGCATATGCACCGATCCTGGGTCAAAGATGGGCCTTGCCAGGATCGGTGCATGTGCATAGTTCTCTTCGCCCGATGCTAGAGGGTTCAGGGGCTGCGATCTGTGAAACTGTAGCCGCTTTTGAAGGCTGCTGGAGGGTCCAGCGGAGCGACGCGCTACTCAGACTCAGATTGAACCTCGCCTATCCCTGGGGGACTGCGATCTGTGAAACGGTCGCCACTGTGGAGGGCTGCTCGAGGGTACAGCGGAATGACGCGCCACGCGGCTCCATATTCGACCTCGCCATCCCTGGGGGGATTGCGAACGGTGAAGCGGTCTTCACTTTCGAGGGATGCTGGAGGGTCCAGCGGAATGACACGTTGCGCAGATTCCAATGAAACCTTGCCATCCCTGGGGGGCTGTGAACTTAGAAGCTGCTGGATGGTCCAGCTGAATGACGCCCTACGCAGATTCCGACTCGACCTCGCCATCCGTGGGGTCCTGCGAACAGTGGAACTGTCGCTGGGGGGTTGAAAACATGCAGGAAGGAGGCGGAGAACCCTGCGGGTGAGCAAGCTAGGCCTTGTTCGTTTTCTACCAGTTACGAACCGCTGAGAGAACGCAATTTCGTGGACTCTTGCTTGGAAAAAACCTTTGGCACTATCGGAACCGCCCCCCCCTAAACACTTGAAGCGCCTGGAAAAACGCCCCCCGTCCCTCCGCCCTCCCTCCGGGACTCTCTAACCAGGGGTGGGCGGGAGGCCCTTCCCTCGAAAGGGTGGGGTTCGAACCGGCCCCTCCCTCCCCGTAGTAGTCCTATTAGTGCTCGATGAAGATGTAAGAAAATACCATTATCGTTGGATCCAATTTCCATAGCATCCTAGTCGGGCTCGGTCCAACTTTGATAGCACCGTACTATCGCTGGAGCCAGTTTTCATCCTACTGAAGCTGGACCCACCTCTACTAAAGCCCTAGTATCGCTTGATCCAGCTTTAATCGCACCATACGGCTCGGTCCAACTCTGAAGTTATCCTACACTGACTAGATCCAGCTCTATTTCAATCCTACTAAGGCTCGGTCCAACTCCAGTAGAGTCCTACTATCGCTAGAAAAAAACCATTGAACCCTACCAGGGCTCGACCAACCTTAAACCGAATCTTACGACGGCTCGATCCAACCTTGCTGCTAGCATCCAACTGCGGCTCGATCGTCGTCGTCGCGGCGCGTCGGCACTGGCGCCGGCGCTCGCCGGCGTCGGCTGCCGTTGGGGAGGGAGAAATCCCCCCAGGTTCAAACCACCCCGCCCCCCCAGTGCAGCTCTCCCTGTTGCAGTTCAGTGGGGGAGGGCCTGATCGACCGCCCCCCTTTAAATTCAAGGGCCCCCCCAACCCCCCTGTTTGCCCCCCCCCCTTTCCTCCCCATCGTCCGCAAAACGCGCTCTTTCGAACAGCTGATCCTGTGGAGCGCCGCCAGAACGACATGGCGCGGGCTGCGCTACTTGTCCAGCGTGCCGCTGGAAAAACAGCGTCACCCTCCTTTCTCATCCCGCTTCTTTCGTCGTCGTTCTCTCCCCCCTTCCGCCGTCTCCCTGCTGCTTCCGCGCTGGCTTTTCGGCCCCGCTTCCGGCCTTCTCATGCCCATTGTTCCCCCCGTTCTTCTTCGAGCCGTTCCCCCCCCTTCCGTCCTTCTTCTGCCCCGCGTTCCCGCCCCCGGCCTTCTTCGTCCCGAAGGCCCCGCTCCTCTTCCTTATATCGCTGTCCTGTGGGGCGTAAAACGCGCGCGCATCCCATGTAGCTTGCGCAACAACTACCGATGCTTGCGCTGTCGCTGTCCATGCACATGCAGATTGATTGGGCACGTCGCATGGTATTTTTCCTTCGATTACACGGGGGCCGCTCTTGAGAAGGGTAGGAAACACTGCATGCCCCTACCTCTGCAGATGCTCCCCTGGGGGCTAGGAAACGGCCCAGGCTGCCAGGAGTCTGCGAGTCCGCGGATATCGATCTTAGATTCTGGCCTCAGGGGACTCTCCCTGTTTCCCTAACGTCGTCTGCAAGGCATCTATATGATGCTTCTATGACGCGAGCGAGGGGTCTGCCAGATCCAGGGGTTTCCCGAATGGTCTCCTGTACAGTCTACCTGTACAGTAAGGACGCGCGATAAGGATGCAAGGGCCTTGACAGGCCATGTCGGAACTTTGCCATAGCCAGGGGCGCGGCCAGCGAACGCGGCCAAGGATGGGCCGAAGGGGAAGGATGCAAGGGTAACCTTTGAAAGTTGCTCATCTTTACCATACAGGTTGACTGCATGGTCTCCTGTATTAGAAGAAGGACAAGTTGCTGTAAATATAAACTTTTGGCGCTAGGCGCGGATTTCTTGGATCTGCGCCGGGCCCCCCTCCCTGGCGCGCGGAGCGCGCCAGGGGCGGCGCAGGAGGCGCCGCCAGGGATCCAAGAAATCCGCGCGGAGCGCCAACATTTCATGTTTATGGCGTTTTTTCTGCTTCGATTGAGTTCTGCTGCTGCTCACGGTCTTCTGCCGCAAAAGGTGTGACTCTTCTTGTTTTTTTTTTTTTTTGTGTGTGTGTGTGTGTGTGTGTGTGTGTGTGTGTGTGGGCTGTGCCATCGGGGCCAGGCTGGCCGACCACGGTGGATGACCCCCGTCGGCGGCTCCACGGTGAGCCCGCCGGGGCGCACGACCGTGAACTCGAGGTCGCTGCCCGGGCCCCCCGGCTGGAAGAGCGCCTCTGGGAGAGTCTCCGTACACGTCGGTCGGAAGAAGCAGAGTCAGCCCGCATCGTAAGGATGCGCGGGAAGGATGCAAGGGCCTTGGAGGCCCACGTCAACGTTCTCGAACGAGGTTGGCCATCGAAAGTCGCTCAGGATGGGCCGAAGGGGCAAGGGTGCAAGGGTACCCTTGGGAAGGTTGCCCATCCTTGCTATGCGGGTTGACTGAAGGTAAGAATATGAAGTAGGAAGGCGGATAAAAGATATTGGGCTAAGGCCCTCCCAGATAATGGCAAAACATAGCTACGGCATGCCGATTCTTGGAATAGGAAATCTGCTTGAGGAAGGCGCTTGAGGTAAATTGAGATCTGGGGATCCATCAACACCCACTTTCAACGACCGGCGTGCACAGCCATCGTTGTTCCCTACGGAAGACGGCGCCCACTTTTATCCCCAAGGACGCGCACACCATGGCAAATACAGACACATTGACACCGTGAAGATACTCCAGATTTCGTAATAAAAGGGAGGGGGTCTCAACCCTCCCAGACGAGAAGTTTTAGACCCCCCCCGTGGGAGAACCCTCCAAAACATCGTCCCCAGACCCCCCCAGGCCCTCCAAGATAGCCTGGAAGAGACCCCCCCCCGAAATGAGACCCCCTCCCTTTATTACGAAATCTGGAGTAGCTGCCTTCGACGCGACAGTCCCCCACCGAGACGCTCGACGTGAGAGCAGGAAGGACTGTGAAAGCCCAGCGGCCGAACGTGTTATGGTGCTCGTGGCAGGGCAGGAGAGCCCACAATCGCATCGATAAGGACTACCTACCAGACCACCCCAACCCAACCCGAAGACCCGAATTTCGGGTTGGGGGGGGTAAGGGTTCCACACGTGTTTCTTCGATGTTTCCCGACCCCCCCCCCCCTGGAAATCGAGGGTAAATCTGAGCCTTCGGGTTGGGTTGGGGTGGTTTGGTGGGTGGTGAGATAAGTCGGATCGGCGATCGAAATAAATCGGATCGGCGGAAATCGGCAGCCGAGTCGGGAGAAGTCGAACCGGCAGAAATCGGCAGGCTGGTGGGCCTCCATCGAGACATCGGAGTCCAAGTCGGACTCCCAGGTCGAACCGATTTGGAGTCGGAGGCCATCGAAATCGACCCGAATCGAATCGGAGGAACCGAAGCGAGCCCTGACAGGGCGGTCTGGGCGCGTCATCGTGCCACCGCAGTGGGGCGCTGCACCTTGGGCGTGGCTCAATGGGGGGGTCACAAATGGGGGGGTCAGAAAAGGTCCCCTTTCGTGCCCCTTTCGGGCCCCTCCAGAGCCCCAGGGGGCTCGTTTAGGTACCGTTTGGGTACCTTTTCCGACCACGCTCGCCACCCCCCCATTTATGACCCCCCCATTACGCGGCGCCCAAGCCTGAGCTCGAGGGCGGCCACGACGGGCGTGTCCAAGAGAGGGGGGGTGCAAACCATGACCGGCGGCGCGTGCGCGGCCCAGCGGGGGGGGCCAGGGGCGTCACGAAATAAGAAGAGGCGCCACGAAATCTGGGGAAAAGTCATGGCCCGCGCCACGAAATCCCCCCCCCCCCTAGTCATCACCCCCCTCGTTGCCGCCCCCGATGAGCCCGAAGTGGCCCCCACTTTGCTCGGCGGCGGGCGAGGGTGGGGGAAATACCCGGGGGCACGCAAACATGGACTGGCGCGCGGTCGCGCGGTCGCCAGATCCATGGATCGGGGGAGGTGCCCTCCCCAAAATGCGGCTGGTGCCGCCTCGTTCGGCGGCGGAAATCCGCGATGTCCCATGGGCGGGACCCGTCGCTAATCCACGCCCCCTTGATCCATGTTTGCGATCGCCTGAAATATGAGAAGGAGAGGGCCTTCTAAGAAGGCGGCGGGACTTCTCAGAAGCCCTCGCGCCTTCTGAACAGTTTTTTGCCTGTCTTCGGGGAAGGCTCAGAGGACTTCCCTCAGAAGGCCGAGGGACTTCCGACCTTCTGAGAAGGCCTTCTCCTTTTCACTTCCCCCCCTCGCTCGCCGCCGAATTTCAGCGCCCTGACTGTACAATCACCACTACAGCTGGGCCCCCCCCCCTCCGGAAGAGTGTCTCCGTACATGGGGGGCCTGGACGTTGGCACCAACACCAACAAACGCACGGGGACTGCCTCGCCGGGGGGGAAAGGTGGTTCGGGACCGTAGTGCCGGTGGTAAGTCTCTCTCGGCCACCTAGAACGCCCGAGGATTACCACCAACACCGAGATGGGGAGCGGGGGAGCGGGAGAGCTTCTGGAAGAATCCCCTTCTCTTTGGCGCCTTCGCTGGGCCCCGGGGCTGCAAACAGCGACTCGGTACGAGAAGCTGCTCCCGGGGAAAGGGTCGGGACTTCCGAGGGCGCCGTCTTGACAAAACAAAAAGCCGGATGTCTGTGCTGCGGCCGCCGCTCCAGATCGCCTCGAGGTCTCGACGACTTCTCTCCTCCCTCCCACACTATGAACGGGGTACTTGCTTCCCTCCCTCCCCCTCCTCTTTTCTTCTCCTTCTCCTTCTCCTTCTCCTTCTCCTTCTCCTTCTCCTTCCCCTTCCCCTTCGCCTTCGCCTTCTCCTCCCTCCCTCGCTCGCTCCCTCCTTCTGCAACAGGTATCGCCTCCCCCTGCAGGGCGCGATCGAGCGATCGTTCATTGCTTCATGACTTCTCTCTCTACGTTGATGGGGAAGATGGACGGAGCGCGACATTCTGACAAACGAGGCAAGGCGTTACGTTGGAGGGGTTGCGGGGGGAAGATGGACGGAGGCGCGACGAGCGACTTCTCTCTTTGCGTTGAGGCGACGTGCTGACAAACGACCCGCCCGTCAGCCTGAAGCTGCGGGATACGTATCGGGATACCCATCGGTCGGAAGAAGTAGGTAGAAACATGAAGTAGGAAGGCGTTGGAAATATATTAGGTTTCCGCCCTCCTCCGGAAGAGGAGGGAAGAGGGAAAACCACTTGACTCTTGAAGTAGGAAGGCGCTGAAAGTATATTGGAATCTGGGAATCCAAAAATACCTACTTTCAACGACCGATGGGTATGTACCAGGTTCGCCCTACGATGAAAAAAAAAACGACCTCCGCGGTCCCTCGGCTCGCCGGCTGTGGCTTCCACGGTTTGCTCCTGAATTGTCCTGGAGCCTGCAAATTTACCTCGACCTGTCTGCACGTAATACGTCGATTCGTATCGATTTGCCTGGCTTGCTCCCGGCAGGTCCATTGGAGAAGAGCCGTCGAGCCATTGGGGACCAGGTTCTCGTTGCCAGGGAGGGGACGGGGGGGAGGTTGCGGCAGGCGGGCGACGGGGCAGGTCGAGGTTCGAGGCGGAGGAGGGGGAGGAGCAGGCCGGTGAGGACGACCCCTCGCCCTCTCCCTCCTCCCCCTCCACCGCCTCTTCTCCGTCCTGCTCCTCCGTTCCCCCTTCTCCTTCCCCGCCCCATCCCCCCTCCTCCCTTCCCTCTCCCTCCTCGAGCCGAGCATGCTCCCCGCTGGCGGACGACGACCTCCCTCCTCTCTCCTCTCTCCTCTCTCCTCCTCCCTCCCTCCTCCTCCTCCTGCCTCCTCCTCCTCCTCCCTTTTGGGGGCAAGGAGGCCAGAGTGAGAGGGGGGTGGAGATGGATTGATGGTCCTCGCGAGGGTCTCCAAGCCTCTTGGTTGTTCTTGTCCTTGAATATCTTGCTCATCATGGTGTACATCAACACTTTGAAGAAGAAAGGCGCCTGGTTCTCAGAATCGCCGGTGCCAATGCTGGTCACCACGGCGATGCGCTTGGTGCCGGCCTCCTTCATGGCGGAGATGACGTTGCTGGTGCCGTCGGTAAGCATCGTCTCACCGACATCGGCGCTCTTGCCACCCAGCGAGACGATGACGCCTTTGCAGCCAGCCCCGATCACCTTGCTCACGTCGGCAAAGGATTTCACGTCGCCCTGAACCTGAGCGCAAAGAAAACCACATCCCTGTTTGTGCTTTCCCCCCCCCCCCCCCCAAACCGGACACACCGGGATCCCTGGCCCCAAAGGCCCCGTGTACGCCCTCGGAACGGGCCGCCCGGGACTTCCGGGCCCTGGACGTCCCTGCCGGGCCTAGCCAGCGGGACGAAAGCGGTCAGGAGGGTGGCCAAGCTGACCCGCGAACGCCTCAACAGGCCCCAAACACCCACCAGGCGCACGAAGGCGGCCCAAAGAACACCACCAAGAGGCTCTCCAAACGCAAAAAACAATATATTCATACGCTTCGGTTCTTCGGTCTTCCGCGCGCCCGGTACCGCCCAAGAGCCACCGAACATGGATCTCAAACGGCCCAAACGGGCTTGCAGACAGTCCAAGGGAGCCCCAAGACGGCCCAAGCGGGCCCCAATTTGCTCCGAAAGAGAGCCCCATGAGCCCCGTGCCAACTCAAGATGGTCCCAAGACGCCCCCGAAACACTCCAAATCGTGACCTGGTCGTGGTGGGAGACCCCAGTTCGCATGAAAGTGGCCCGATGAAGCCCCCTGACGCCTCCAAAAGGCGCCCAGGAGGCCTCCAGAAACCTCCAAGAAACACCCAAAAAACGGTTTCGCGACCCCCCAAGAGACTTTTCAAAGATAAACCTCCGCATAATCACCAGCCTATCTACAACAATTGAGAAGAACTGCTGGTCAATTCTATCTTGGATGACGACATGGCAAAGACCACCATCTGTCGCGGATGATACATGGGAGGCGCACGCGTTGCGGGGCTTCCAAACATCGATGAGAAGGCGAAGCGGTCCGCGGAAAAGGAGGTCTGGCCGCGGGCCCCGCATCATAAACACATCGTCATCGCGCAAACAGTTTGCGTAAGACCTGACAGTGCTGCCCCCCGCAGCAACAACCCTCGAACATGGCTACACTTTCACACGGCGCAGCCCCCCACGGATGGCGAGGTCTAGTCTGAATATGTCTAGGACTCGAGCGTGCTCCCCCCATCCCCCAGCAGCCCTTGAAATCGGCGACGGCTTCACACTTCGCAGCCCCCCGAGGGATGGAGAGGTCTCATCTGGATATGCGTAGGAGCCGACTGCGTTGGCCCCCACAGAAGCTCTCGAAAGTGTCTACAATTCCAGATGTCGCATCCCCTCTCTCACGGATGGCGATGTCGAATACGACTCCGCGAAGAACCCGACTGTGCTGCGCCCTCCCTCAACAACCCTCGAACATGGCCACGGCTTCACACTTCGCGGGCCCCGCGGGGCGGCGAGGTCTTATCCGAATCGTCGCAGGAGCCGGCCAGCTGTGCTGGCCCCCACAGCAGCCCCCGAAAGTGGCGACAATTTCGCACGTGGATGGCGCAATCTAACACGAATCTGCGTAGCCCCCGACCGTGCTGGCCCCCCTAGGCAGCCCTCGGGGCCCTCGAACTTGGCGACGTTCACACTTCAATATGAATCTGCGCAGCCCTGGAATCTTCTGCCCGCCCTCGTCTGCCCTCGAATGTGGCCCTTGTCGTGCTGCTCGTGGTATATGTCGTGCTGTCTGTGGTGACCTGTGCAAAGAAACATTGCAGATTGACGTGTCACGGAATGCCCCCGTAGCTTCTGACAGGCGACTTCAAGAGTAACGGTCTTGACGTCGAGATGTAGATGGGGTGATCTTTTTGAAAGACACATGCCTGCCCATCCGTCTTCGCGTGAGGCTCCAAGACCCTCGCGAGAACATCATCAGCACAACATTTGGAAAGAACCGTTTTGTGTGAATCGTTTTGTCTTGTATTTGCCGTCGTGCTGCGCATGGTGCCCGTTGTGCTGTTCATAATGCCCGTCATACTGTTGTTCGCGCCCGCCGTGCTCATGGTACCCGTCGTGCCGCACATGGTGCCACTGATATTGTCTGAGGTATCCGCCGACCTGCTCGCAATATTCGCCGTGCTGCTCTGGGTACACACTTTGCTGCTCCTGGTGCCCGTCGCGTTGCAGACGGTACCCGTCGTGCAACACCACGCTTGGAGTCGGAGACTGAGGTAGGATCGGGACTTGGAGTCGGCGACCTCGAACGGACTCTCGCTCATCCGCCCCGTCGGACCGTCGGCGCACCACTCCCTCTGGAATCGGCACAATCCCCGAAACAGCGCGTCATCTGTGATAGCAGCGTGAAGAAAGTTGATCCATGGCCGCCTTCGCTAAAGTGGACCCTTCCTCTAATGTTCCGAAATTCCGTCGTCGCCAGCTTTCCCCGCACGGTGAAACAATGCAGTTGTAGCTTGCTTGCCGCTATCACCCATCATCTGTCATACTGATGGCAAGCATACTACGTGGCATAGCTATTCCCACGTTGACCCCGCAGTCGCCCCCGCGACCACGCGCAATCCATGGGGCAATGAACGCAATGCCCCACCGAATCGTCAGCCGCGCGCAAACAAACGAACCCACAAGTCCGGCGCTCACGCCGCAGCGACTGCGTTCTCCGGTCAGTTGCCCACCCGTTGAAGATCGTACTTATCATTGCTGCCTAAATCCTGGGAGATAGCTATCTACGAAGCCTCTGCTGATGTTGCCCCACCATCTCGCCAGTCTCTTGCGGAGCGTCCACTCAATGCTGTATTCATCCCGAGACAGGAGGCGGGCCACGAACCATTTCTGCATGCTGTTTTTTCCTGAACCTCCGATCGTCAGCTTCCGAAAGTGGCTCCGCTCTGACATTGCTGATGGCCGTGCGTGCTGCGTGAATGGACGTACTGGCGCGAGCCTGCTCCGCGACTGCCGCCCATACGTTCGTGGGGATGTGCCGAAGGCGGGCAGCCAGCCCAAGCCTTTCTCTGTGGTGTAGACCAGTAGGACTACGCCAGGCCCTGGGCCCAGGAGGCGCCTGTCGAACAGCAGTGCGTCCCTCGTCGAGGACCTCTTGTGGCGGGGCCTTCAGTTGGGCGACGGATAGAAGCGCAGGCAGCACACGCACACTGTAGGCAACCAGAGTCACGTTCAAGCCGACCTCGCTCCATCGCCCGTCGCTCCAGCGGTCACTGTACTTCGCCACTGGTTTTGTCCACGTCTTGTCTTGCTTGCAAAGCCTATATTATACCCCAGGTATTTCCACCTGCTAGCCCACGTGATCTGCACGGTCTCGGGGTGCGCTCTGGTAGTTGCTTGGAGTCCGTCGATGTCCGCCCCCTACAAACGGTACGTGCCATCACGGTTTGCCAATATTGCGCGCTTGTGCTCCTGTCGCCACGAGCGCAACGCCATGGCCGCATTGCCCCGTCAGGGAACCCTGCTGCTCGTACCGCGGCGAACAAGTGCCGCCGTGCCACAGGCGGGAAAACCGGCATAAAATCGTACAGAACCACCGCTGCGTCGCCCAGCTGCAAGATTGGCGACGCCAGCTGCTGGCTCGATATTTACTATACTAAACAACATTGTCCCGCGCTGCTCCTTGGCGATCCGTTGCGCGACAGTGGGCTCCCCACGCAAGCGGTGCGTGTTGGCGATCGCCCGGTTGTGGCAATTAGTAATGGATCGCGGGCGCGTGCCATCAGGTTCAGGTTGGAAGACTTGGTTCCCTTGGGCGTCAACTCTTGTTGGTTGCTTTGGCGGACCGCAGAGGAGAAACTCGTTGAAGGCGTAATGGGCTGCGTCTCCCTCTGAGGCTCGTGTCTCCAGTTGCCGGCCTGCCTCCCGAAGTACATGTGCCCTCTGTCGTCCTAGGCTGCACTAAGCCTGCATGGGCACCCCATTTGGGCCAGGGCGCGAATTGCCATCGATCCGCGGTGCCTCCCCAATGTCCTTGGACCTGAGCCCCTCAATGTTGTTGTAGGGGAGGAGGGGGATCGGGCATAACGAGACGACAAGCACGGCGACGCTATCGTGAGGCCACCGAGCTGCCTCGAGTGCCGTGCCAATTGGGTGGAGGTGAGGCGTCTAGCCAAGCAAGAGGGGCTGGTCCTGCGAGCGTGGCCGAAACTCGGCCGCATCATCGGCCAGTCTGCGACGGCACGCACGAAACCGAACGGCCGAATCGCGGTCAGCCTATACGGCGGCGCGCATCTGAACACCTCGAGAGCACACCAAGAGGATGAACAAGAAACGGTGGTGCCCATGATCTGAGACTGGCGCGCCGACCCCAAACGCGTATGTACACATAAGATAATCGGTATGCATAAAATTTTCATTTATCTATATATATATGTATCTAGATACACATACACATATATGTATTTATTCATGTACATATATATGGGCAGATGAACCGACAATATGTTTGTAGGGTGAAAGAGGACTTGCGAGACAGAGAGAAATATACATAATGAGAGAGAGAGAGAGAGAGAGAGAGAGAGAGAACGAGAGAGAGAGAGAGAGAGACAGAGAGAACGAGAAAGAAAGCGAGAGAGAAACGGAACTAGAGAGAAAGAGAGAGATAGAGAGAGAGAGAGAACGACAGAGAGAGAGAGAGAGAGAGAGAGAGAAAGAGAGAGATAGAGAGAGAGAAAGAAAGAGAGAGAGAGAGAGAGAGAGAACGAGAGAGATAGAGAGAGAAAAAGAGAGAACGAGAAAGAGAGCGAGAGAGAAACGAAACTAGAGAGATAAAGAGAGAAAGAGGAACAAAGAGAAAGAGAGAGAGAGAGAGAGAGAGAGAGAGAACGAGAGAGAGAGAGAGAGAGAAAGAGAGAGAGAGAGAGAGAGAGAGAGAAAGAGAGAGAGAGAGAGAGAGAGAGAGAGAAAGAGAGAGAGAGAGAGATGACGGCGCTACAGGCTAAGCCAACTTTGATACTTTCTCGGCAGCCAAAGCATGCGACTGTGTCGCAAACTGGGACAACGCCGAAGTGCTCTCGGCAACCGCGCAAAATCGAGGCAAGGACAAGTGTGAGACAACGCCGATGTGAATTCTCGACGCTCAAGACAACAATACCTAAACATGAACCTCCGCGAGCGGGCCCGAACAACATAATTTCATTGCAGCCAAGGCGCACTACCGAGTCAAGATCAGTTGGGAAGCACGCTGGATAGAGGAAGTTCTCGGCAGCCAGGAAGCAAGTCCGAGGTGGGAACAATAGGGAACACTGTCGAACAAATGGCATTCTTGGCAACCGCTGGCACTCTGCAATCTCCACAGGGGCCCTGTTACTGCAAACGCTTTCAGCATTGTGTTCAGAGACCAACAGGTTGCATAACAACTAGTCGCCGAATGTACAACGTCCCAATGAAGAGCAAGCGTCGTGATACAACTAATGATGGTCATGTCGTGTAGCGCTATCAGTCCGCCTTTGCCCCCCCCCCCCCCTGCGCCGTGGCAGCTCGCGCTTCTCAATGGCTTCTGCCCCTCAAAGAGCCACTTTGAGCTTGGCGTCGTCGAAGGGCTTGTCCGCGGCCTCACCAGGTTCCCAAATTTTTTCCTCGCGAACAATGAAATTGCTTTCGTTCCAAACAGAGAGGAGGGTCGTCGGAGGTCCAGACCCCTTTCTAATCAAAAAAAGCTTCTCGTCCTGCGACGTCTTTCAAGGTCACGGGGCCCCCCGAGGCCGAACATCGTTAAGCACATCTGGTTTGTTTTTTTTTGTTCGCGAAGCGATAGGGTCGGCCTCCTTGCCGCAGGAGCCAAGCGGCGTCAGCAGTTTCGCCGGGTCGCGGGCCAGCACGACCACCTCCTCGCCGCGCTGGAGCAGCTGGTGCACCGCCTCGCGCCCTGTCAGCCCCGTGCCGCCGAATACGGCCACGAATGCGGCGGGTGCCTGCCGCCAGTGCCTGCTTGCTTGGCCGACTAAGAACAGCAGTAATAACAGTACTAGGAATAGTAATGGTAATAAAAACACTAGTAGTAGTAGTAGTAGTAGTAGTAGTAGTAGTAATAATAATAATAGTAGTAGTAGTCGTAGTCGTAGTAGTAGTAGTAGTAGTAGTAGTAGTAGTAGTAGTAGTCGTCGTCGTCGTCGTCGTCGTAGTAGCAGTAGTAG